GCCTACCACCCATTTGAAAGATGGCCCGGGCTAGGTTGTCAACATGCCACTCTCAGCATCCCCAACCACCACTACACCAAGGTCTTCACCGCATCTAGCAGCTAAACTGACGCTCATTCGCAATTCTGCAGCACCCACTACAACCTCGTTCACATATCAGGTTGCAGATGAGAACCACATTGTCAGCCTTGACACCGTCAGCCATTATGTGACAAAGGTTCCACTTGCCATGGAGGATGATCTCGGGGCCACTCTGGCACCCACCATGGTCGCACCATTCTGGCTCCAGGCAGAGGCCTACGCAGACCTATGGTCCAGCGCCATGCTTTCACTGTTGTTGTTTGGCGATCATCAAACCAGCGCCCCACCAAAACCACCATCGTATTTCCTTGTGCAAGAACGAATCGGTTGGGATGGCGATGAGGTCACCACCTTTGCCAAGGTCGCCCAGGTCAGGTGGTGCAAGAAGAATTGTTGTGCAGTGTTACCGTGTTCACAATCAATGAAGGTGGTCGCATCCCAACCATGGCTGCCATCTCCGCAAGTGCACCTCTGTGCTAGGGGAGTAGGCCAGCCGTCATGGCTGCCACCAGAAACATGCACTATGTTGTTACTGTCAGGGGATGATTCTATTATGCCAGTGATTGAGCTGAACCCATGGCCGGATCCGCGGCGGAGTCAAGGTAGTGGAAGTGCGTTGAACAAAGTGCAACATTATGCATTTTGGATGTTGAATCGGGTCCATGTGTTTGTTTGGAGGAAGGCTGGGGCAAGCAACCTTGGGAACAATTACATTGAGAAGGAGTACTCCATTAAGAAGCAATTGAGGGTGGTTGTCCTAGAATTTCAAAGGGTAGCAGTTGGGTGTTGCTCACATGCCACAAACTGGGAATTGGAGTTCCCGAAGCTCTATGAAATGATAAAGGTCACTGAGACCAGAACACTGAGACTATGGTATGGCGGTATCCTAAATCTTATATCTATGATGTTGCCTTTTGGTAGTTGTCGGGGATATACCCCGCAGTAGAACCCGACCGGAAATATGACCCGGTCGGAACTTGGTGACTCACTGGTGACCCGACCGATCTTGACGACTCACTCGTGACCCGGTTGAACATGACGACTCACTAGTGACCCGGTAGGCGGCTCAGACGAATGAAAAGACTCAAAGGCCCAGAAGGTGACTTAACAAGAAGGCCGTCTCAGGGTACGGTTTTCGGTGGGCCGGCTTGAGAGGAAAGGTATAAGGAACATTTTCCTTACAAGGGAAATAAGACTAGGATTCCACTTTTAATAGAAAATAGACTAGTCCTAATTCTACTAGGACTCTACATGTAAGCCGCCCCTTCAACTTATATAAGGAGGGGCAGGACACCCCAAGAGGGAGAAGTTTAGACAGACAGACAAGTCTTATACAAGATCAAAGTAGATGCTCTCGAGATAGAGGTAGCAAAACACCGCCCTTGTAACCGAGACCATCATCACCATCAATATCAATCAAGCAGGATGTAGGCTTTTACCTCCACCGTGAGGGGCCGAACCTGAGTAAAATCTCGTGTCTCTCGATTCCGATCAACCCCGTTTAATCTATTACCTAGTTGTGGTGGCCTCACGACTAAGTCCTCACACTAGGACATCTGTCGACAAAACTACGATAGTTGGCACCACCATGGGGCCTTCACACGATGGTGTTACGTTCTTGAAGGGAGCTCTTTAGGGTCGAGAAGCTTGCGATTGACCGGTGAGGAAGAGCCATTACAAAGGAATTCACACCATCAACAAGCAGCTGAAACCGAATATACAAGGTTAAGTTTAAGAGAAGCTAGGGTTTCATCGTATGCGCCGCCGCACACGTCTGTGGCGACCCATCCGAGGATGGATCGGTGTCTGCTACGATTGAGACCAACAAAAAACAGCAGCAACTCCCAGACGGAGTCAAAGATCGTTCCAGGGCCAGAGACCTGCGCCTACTAAGGCAGATCGGAATGGGAGTATCATAGGTAGTATCATGCACGTCAACTAAGCAATTTTGATGAGGTGACATAGAATTAAATGAAAAAAGATAAGCTTGAGTATCATACTATCATGATACCGTATCATATTAAATGATGTGCTATTTTGTGTCATGCATGACAATAAATGTAATCCTATATGATACCAACATATGATACTCCATCCATTCCCTTATACAAGGCCACAAACTCAAATTACAGATACCTAGATAAATTTAATGACTACTCCCTCGTCCGGGTTTATTCGGCCTCCTAGCAACAATAGTGTGTCCCTATTTCTAAGGCCTGTAAATGAAACAGAGGAGTCGTTCCTCGATTCGTGACAAGAGAAACTAACGTAATTACAGGGTGGTGCAATTAAAATGGAACAGCCTGGCTAGACTAGCCAATCCATGCATTTCCATCCTTTTTAATTGGACACGCATGGGCCCAATGCGGCGCAGCAAAGCGCGCCCTACGGCTTCTAGTGTAATATTAAAGTCTAACGTCTTTCCTATGTATTGGCATGGCATAAAAAAATAGATCAGTAACATATAGTGAAGATCAATGCACGACAAAATAAGTTTCTTACAATTGTAGCCTGTTAGGAACATAGAGAGGGCTCTTGGAGTTGTTATTCTTTCCTCTTTCATAACAATTATAAGTATTGAAAGCAAACTCAACAATATAAATTCCATGAGAATTATCATGAGCACAAACAAATTATGAACCATAAATATAGATATAATTAAGCAAATTTCTCCTCTAAATTGTATTTGGGAGAATTCAGTAACAATATAGACCATCATATGTGAGAGAGAATCACTAGCCTGCCTCCCTTGAGAGGATCCGAGCTCACCAACCAGATCGTAACTTTTGGCATTTGGTAATGATGGGCCTAAAGTTGTTGGAAGGAGTTCGACAGGACATCATCACCTCTTTTCTTCCAAGTTTAGAGGGTTGTTTAATGATTCTTAATTTCTTATTAGTGTTGTTCAGCCTACACACGTGCTCCTATATATTCATAGATTAATGAAAATACCTGAGGCAATAGCAAGCAGAAAAGAGCTGGCTTTGTGCTGCAGGTGGAACATCTTCTGGACCCTACTAGATATGGACGGACTCACCATCGCCATCCCTCCACGACTTCACCTTTCAAATTTTCGTCCATCTATTTGTTTTAACCATCTGCTCCTCGTTGAAATCGGTTGCAGCGGTAATCACACTCCCTCTCGGGCTCTCGCGACCGCGTCGCCCCCGCGGGCGACCGGCTGCGCCCCGATCTCCTTCTCCAGTGGCCCACCCTCCTCCTTCCCTCCCTGCCGCCGTCGTTGGCGCTCGCCGCCGGGCCTGGCCCGGGCAACGCTGGCGGCGGCGGCCCCCGCGCTTTTCCCCTCTCGGCTTTCTCTGGCGCGGGACAGAGCGGGCTGGGGGGTGTCCCTAGGCG